TTCTTGAAGGTCCCTAAGTCGTATCGGTCCGGAAAAATCGCTGGTGGTAAACTATTCCACAAGGAAGTTGTGCGAGGAAGAAAACATCTTCTAAATCGCACAGTGGTGGACCGCCAATCATCCAGATGGTGTGGATGGTATCGGGAGTTCTGCCGCGATGTGCGTTCGTGAAATTTGGCGGCTGGGATTAATCCGAACAATTCCTCAGAGCACTCCCCATGGTAAATGCGAAAGAAAATGCTAAGAGATGCAACATCTCTTCGCAGTGCCAATGAGTCGAGCCGATCGGAAAGGACTCGGTCGTCGATGATTCGAGCCGCTCTGCGCTGGATGCGGTCAAGTGGAAGAAGCTGGCACTGGGGAGCCCCAGCCCAGAGATGGGAACAGTATTCCATGTGAGGCCGAACCTGCGCCTTGTAAAGTTGCAGGCGTTGAGCCGGCATAAAATACTGTCCCGCTCTGCTGAGCACGCCAAGCTTTTTAGAGGCCAATTTGGGCTTCTCTTCCAAGTGACCACGAAACTGCACGCTACTCGATATGTCGACGCCGAGGATTCCGATACTGGCTGAGGCAACAAGGGGAGTACCTTGAAACTGAGGAGATACGACAAAGGGGTTCTTTTTAGCGGTAAACGCGCAAACTTGTGTCTTCTGAGGATTAAACTGGACTAGATTTAGTCGCCCCCAATTCGAGACTTTGTCCAGCAAAGACTCGACTTCAGACACAAGTTTGTTCCGGTACTCGGTGACGTTTTCCCGAGAAATATTGGCACGGCCGGTGTATAGAGCATCACCAGTGCTGTCATCTGCATAGCAATGAATGCTACCAGCTTGCAACATATCATTGATATGCAGAAGAAACAGCGTTGGTGATGCACGCAGCCTTGTGGAACACCAGCGTTAATAGGCTTGTAGTCGGAGCATGCACCGTCTACAACGACCTTGATGCTCCGATCTGCAAGAAAGCTGGTGATCCAATTGCATAATTTCTCGGGAAGCCCATAGGAAGGGAGCTTCCAAAGAAGCGCTTTGTGCCAAACCCGATCGAAGGCCTTCGCAATGTCCAAACTAACGGCCAATGCCTCCCCCTTGGACTCTACTGCCAACGCCCATCTATGAGTTAAGTAGACCAGAAGATCACCAGCTGATCGACCCCGACGAAAACCGTACTGGCGGTCACTAATCAGCTGGTGATCCTCAAGGTACCGCATGAGGTGGCAGTTTACAACGGATTCCATTATTTTGGAGAACAAGGGGGTGATGGCGATAGGCCTGTAGTTGGACGGATCTGAGCGGTCGCCTTTTTTAGGGATCGGGTGGACAAAAGCTGTCTTCCATGATTTCGGGACTACGCCTAGGGAGTAGGAGTACCGGAAAAGACGCGTTAGAACCGGTGCCAACTCCGGAGCACACGTCCTCAGCACAATTGGGGGGATTCCGTCAGGCCCACTCGACTTGTGGATGTCAAGGGAGAGGAGTGCTCTGCGAACCGAGCGCTGTGAGAATCGCACATCCGGCATGGAGCACTCACACCGCGGGATGGTCGGCGGTGTGTTCCCCCCGTCATCAACAGTCGAGTTGGACGCAAAAAGGGAGCCTAAAAGGTCGGCCTTCTCTTTTGCGTCGTGGGCCAGTGAGTCGTCCTCCCTGTGCAGAGATGGTAGTGATGGCTTACAGAAATTCCCTTGGACAGCCTTGGCGAGAGACCAGAATGCACGGGTTCCCGAAGGAAGGCGAACTAGTTTCTCGCCAATTCTGCCTATGTGCTCTGACTTTGCCTTGGCAATAACTCTTTTGAAGGGCCTGGAGGCGAAGTTATACTTCTTTTTGAGTGTGCTGGTGTTTACATCCCGAGTCACCGAAGCCGCAGCCCAGGCTTGATAACACTCCTGCTTACTGCGTAATGCAGTCTTACAGGAGCGACCAAACCAAGGCTGAGATCTGCCTCCGATGGGTACCACAGATGATGGAATAAATAGTTCCATTCCCTGTAGCACTACATCAGTGACAGAGTCAGCAACAGCGCTGGGATCATCCGGCGAGAAGCAAACCCGCCCCCATGGGTAGGAAGCAAAGAAAGACCGCATTCCGTCCCAATCCGCCGACCTGTAATGCCAAACACGGCGGCAACCTGCAGAACGCAACCGCGAGGGGAGCGTGAGTGGCACCACACTCCGGATCAGACAATGGTCCGAAGAGCCAAGAGGGGCATCGACGGAAACCTGATATCCGTCCGGATGAGAGGTCATCAGAAGGTCCAACAGGGAAGGTGTATGATACTCAACATCTGGAATCCGCGTAGGCGATGTAACCAGTTCTGTCAGACCATATGCCAAGGCAAAGTCATAAACAGATCTCCCCGCATGATCGGTTAAACGTGAACCGAGCCATTCGGCGTGGTGGGCGTTAAAATCGCCAAGGATCACGATCTCTGCGGATGGGACCTGTTGTAGCAAGGAATCTGTAGCCATTTGGACGTGGTCGATGAGTCGGTCTGTTTCGGCATTACCGCTATGGGACCTATAGAGGCACACGTAGACGCGCGGATGGTCGTCGCTGTCTACGCGTAGCCAAAGGATGGACAGGTCCGAACCTTCAAGACTGCCGAGGCGTCGAGAACAGATGTCCTCTCTGACATACACGCAAACTCCAGCCCGAGGCACAAAGGAGTGCTCCAATTTGTACCCCGGGTAGGAGAGATACGAAGTATCAGCCGGAGAGGACACCTGCGTCTCGGTCAGAAAGAGCAAGGCCGGCTTCGCCGTCTCAAGATGGTAGTGGACGGCGTTTAGGTTCGAGTGAAGTCCCCTGATGTTGCAGAAATTCACGGATAGCGTGGCAGGGGTCGCCTTGGTCTTGTTGCTCAGTTTGCTCCGAGCAGTTATTGTGTTGAGCGGAATTTTGCCCCCCCCAGAATACGCGGGGCAGCCTGAGCACCCACGCTCAGGAGTGGAATAGCATGGTCGTGGATGCTCAGCGAGGGATTCTCCAGGGGTACTGGTACCCTCCTGGGGTAGTTTATGACGTAATTCCGCTACCATGTTGATTGGGGGGGGGGGGGGAATTGGGCATCCGGTCACCTGCACTCACCAGACGAAACGCGGAAGCAGAGCTTCCACTTCACGCCGGTATTCTGTGAGGTCGTGGTACTAACCCGGCTCGAGCCGGCCCATACGTGCAACAGCAAAAGCTGCTGCAAGGCATAGTAAAATAAATATTTCATTCGTCTCACTTATTAAGGTATAGAGATCCGACTATCTTTTAACTTTTGTTTAGAAATCTTATTTTTCGATTTCAATGTTATTTCAACACCAAGTAGGTAAACGGTATTTTCGGTTCGGTGGCCAGATTGTTTTGCAAGAAATAAGTCCTACCACCTAGGTAGGACTTATTTTCTGCCTAGGAATCCGTCTAGGTAGGAACTACCCTCTTATCTATTTCTGTCGCCAAACAGCAGTACCTGCATTTGCTTACATAAAATCTCATATTAAAATGAACAGAGCATAGATATTTTAAGTGACGAAATTTCACTGTTATAATCCTCAGGACTCATACATAGATAGTGGTACACCTTACTTGTGTTTATTTATAAGTTATACTATTAGAAGGAAGGCAAAAGAATTAATTAAAGTCAAGTATAGTAGAGATAAACAATACAAGTTGTGATGCTAAGTTATTGTTAGCATCACAACTTGTATTGTTCGCGCAACGTTGTGTGAGTGTGACTGATTAGCGATTTGGAATGCATTCACTTTCACCTTCGGTTACGTTTAAATAGCTTTAAAGACACGGTTGAAATGAAACTTAACAATCTTGGGCGCCGCCAAGATTACTTTCAGGGAGACGCATCTGCATCTACTTGTATATTATACTGTTAATTAAATTAAAATATAGAATTAAACAATATATTTTATATCTATATTGTATGTAGATAAATGTAATGTCAAATTCAAATCGCGCGGGTATTTTATTATATATTTCGTTCATCGAAAACGTTTCCTAATCTCTGTAGTCGATGGTTGGCATTATTTCTCGGAGAATCCCCGCTGCGGCGCGACATGCTCAGTGTTCATCATCAGTGTTCACATCATCATGAGTTTGAAAGATAATGTCTATTTTATTTATTGATATTGCTATTTAATAAACAATCATACATAATATAATAAACATTTGCTTAAGTTTAAAATATGTTGAAATGGGCTAATTTTTTTACATTTAATTACGCCGTTTTCCTGACTTGGCCTTATCCTTACGTACATTTTTGGCTTCATTCGCCATTGTTTTTCTCTATATTGATGTCTTCTCATCGTTCTATTTTTTCGGCACAGTTGCAATGGCAAGTCAGCATGAGAGCTTTTATAAGCCAAGAACAGCTGATGATGCAAATTTCCTTCTTTTGAGGACGTTACAGTATTTACTCATTTTAACAACACTGACTACAACAATGTGCTTCTCCGTAAACACTAACGAATACTGACAACGAAAACAAAATAAAAATAGCGTACAATACAGTCGAGGGATTCCCCGTAAACATACACGAAAAGGGCTACCAACGTGGGAGATTTTAACTCCCTGGTTTTTTATATAAATAAAAAACAATGTTACGTAACGTGTTCTTCAAACTCCCCTCCCACCCCAGAACGGATCTCCCTCCCCCTAAATTGCGTTACGTAATACTTGAACGCCCCCTATACGACGCCTATCGTAAACAGGTTGATTATAGCGCCATCTATCGCAAACTATAAGATCTTTTTAGTATATGCCATAGTCACCTCACAACAATCTAGGGACTAAACGAAATGGGATGATGGATTCTCTTACTCCATTTCCAAACCGCAAGAGTGATGCGCCCAAATACTTTCACACAGTCACTTGACAGCACTAGATTTAACAGCGGCTTAAAATTGAGTAGCGTTTGAATATTTGGTCATTAAATGCTTATAGCGGCGTTATATTACGTCAAGATATCCATAGACTTCAATGGGCTTTTTTTTATTTCAGTCGCAATATTTGCGGGCATCATCAATTGCACGGGCCTGTTCACACTGAACGTCTCCTGTTTGATCGCCGGCATCTGGCAGATGCTCGCCGGCTTCATAGTGATCGTGTGCGAGGCGCCTTGCTGCTGCTTCTTCATAGACTATGTGCAGGTCCTATCTGATAAAATGGAGACGCGGCCATATTGGAATAAAGCGGCGTTCTACGTTGGGTACGTTAAAAATCTATTAGATAGATGTTGACTCACGAAGGCGGGAGAGCGATACTTATAGGTCTGATGTGTATAGACGCGCGCTTGTATGCAAAATCATTACAGGTAGCGTTAGCAAGATCATTTCTATCGAATAAAATAATGCAAGTAGTTAGATTAGTGTTTGTTAAGCGGTGAAATAAAAATATTTACGTGTTCAGTTTATATACATATTAGGTTGATCAATAAGTTTTCGAATAGTACCTACATTCAGCAATGGGTTATAGAAATGCGTTAAATTTTTTTTTCTTTTCGAATCTTAAATTCGTTAGTAGCCAAGGCCAGAAAAAACTAAATTAAAAAGTATACCTCATTTGTTTTTCAAACTTTATATTTGGCGGGAAATTGATACGTATACGAAATAGAGAAACTCGAAAGGCATTACATAAATATTTCTGCTTGAAAAAGAATTCTACAGTGTTTAATCAAAAAAACTACGCGAGGAACTAAAGAATAACGGCAAGGAAAATTGCGAACTGGAGGGGTTTTTCATCATGATAATGCCCCTGTCCATCACGATCTGATGTTGCAGGCGCTGCCATTCGAACTGCCATGTTTCAGTTTATGCAGCACCCGCCATATTCTCCGGGCCTAGCTCCGAGTGATTTTCACCTTTTCACTCAACTGAAAAAGCTCTTGCGTGGTATAAAGTTTGACAGCGACGATGAGGTGATGTGTGCTGTAGAGGCCTTTTTATAGTCCCAGGATCAAGCCGGTTTTTTCCAAGGGAATTAACAAACTTACAAACCGCTATTTAAGGTGTATTAGCGTAAAAGGCGATTACGTTGAAACATAAATACCTATAGTTATTATATTATATACTTTTCCTAGGATTTCATTGCGTTTCCAAAAACTTATTGATCAACCAGTAGATATTAAATTAAAAAAAAACTTTAAGTTAAATCATAACTATAATCGTTCTCCTCGCTCACTTTCACCATCACAATCAATTTGTAATATATATTAATATATTGTTTCTCGATTAATCTAAAGTATTTTAAAAATCCATTCGATTAAATTTTCGAAACAAAATCCTCAAAGTTCCAGGCCAAGATCTGTGCTAGTAAGATTTAATAACCAGCGTATATGTGATTCTTTCATTGCCAGTGCTAGCAAATATAACAAAGAAAGTAAGAGTAAACTCAACACTAGCCTACTAGGAATTGCATCTGATCCACCAAAATCGATTTTCATAGTAGAACATCTGACTGCGGATAACAAAGAACTGCATGCTGCAACAAGGGCCCGTGCAAAAGAACTGGGTTTTTGGGATTAAGAATTTAATTAAGTATTTCAATATATTTTAAGTATGCGATTGCTATATATTTTTTCCGAGCATAATATACTACTTCATGAAGTATCAATTCTCGTGCGTTAAAATCGTGTCTAAAATAAGATATTTTGTCCAAGAAGCTACGCAACACTACAATACACAAGATTATTCTGACAGCAAGATGAAAAAGAACACGCTGTATCACGCTTATAATTTCTTGTTTCCTTTCAGCTTGGCGCTGCCTCCATTCTTTCTGTGCTTTCTGAGTCTCAGCACTTGGTTTGGAAGCGGTATAATATTCGCTACCGGCGTCGTATACGGTATGATGGCACTGGGAAGAAAGTGAGTACATTTCACTTTTATTTTGTTGTTTCATAAAAAATGTATTTCTTTAACAACAATTGCTTTCTATATATGGTTGAAGAGTTGTGGCGGTTGCGATGTTTGAATGGTTCCTTAGTAGAAAGAATGCAGATGTGCTGGCGTGTCGCTATTTTTGTGAGAAAATTATATCTCATCAGCAGGGTTAGCCAAGTTAGCTAGCTACAATCTATAACGCTAATAGAAAACTATAAAAATAAATGACATCTTTATTTATTTTAGAATGAAATCATAGTTATGTTACGTGACGCTAATTTTTAATGAGATCAGTCGCATTACATTGACATATATAAGTTCCATTCAGTTTTATAGTCTTTTATTAGTGTTAACGATTGTAGAAGCTAAGTTAGTCAAGTTGACGACTAACTCTGCTTTAGGTGAGAGGGAAAGTACCTGAAATATTAATTGAGAAGGCTTACAGTTGAGAAAATAAACTTGCTATGTAATATATAGTACACATTGGATATGATTATATTAAAAACCATAATTTATGGTTTTCTATTTGCCAATAAACAATCTATATTGTAATAATATTTGTTTTGATATATTTAATAATATTTTTTTTTATTGCGATGGTATTATTTTGAAGAATATTTATTTCATATTTCCGTTTGATATAAAGTTGATAAAGTGTTATAATTCTTCCATAAAATAATATTTATATTTTAACAAAAGCATTAAATTGAATGAATGAATATTAAATTTAAAGAATACTTTCCTTTTTCATTAGATGTTTCTCTGTGAATTTTATTTAACAACATTACTAACATATTATGGTGGTGTACTTACATATATCTATTAACATTGCCATTGCTTTGTGTGGGTTGACTAACTGGTATGGGTTTCACAGAAAATGGACTGAGCGCCTCGTGTCATTCTGCAATGTTAATAATTATGATGGAAACCGCGGACATAATTTTTTCTCCTTGAATTTTCTCCGCTGATTTTGGGATTTTGGAAGTTAAATTGTTAGCAAATTATAAAGTTTAGTGTTTCTTTCTGTTATAAATAATAGCAAATAATTTCATCTCAGTCCCAACTAGCGACATCTGGTGAGCGGTAAATTATTAGCCCTTTTTTTACGAATATATCTCGTAACATACGTACAAAAATAAGTACATACAGTTGAATTAAATATCTCCTCATTTAGGAGTCTTTTAAAAAGATATGGCATTCTGTGACATAATCTTGATATAATGATTTCTTATATTTACACCAATACTAAACATTAAATTAAACTAAATTTACGGATTTTAACTTTTTAATTCCCGACTATTGTGTACGCAGTCGCTTTGTCCCTTTTTAAACCATGTCGGTATTAGTAAAGCGGTCGCTCAGTCCATGTGTGTGTGTGTGAGGGGTGCTAATATGGTGTGTGTGCGGTGGGGGGCAGGGGGTCGCGGGACGACATGGCGGCCATGGCGGCGGCCGGCTCGCCCACCGGCGCGCCGCTGCCGACCTCCGACCACAACGTCACGCTCATGGAGGACCCCGACGTCTGGCGCCCTAACTAAAGGCAAATCCTCATCGGAATCGAATGCTAGACACGCTTGCGTACTGCATGTATAACAAACTTTTCTGTTTCCGCTTGGATGTGCTTGATATGCAACTGTATCTTAAACCCAAAGAAAAAAGGAAACTGAACGTAATTTGTTATTACAAAAATCGGCTTATTTGATAGTCTCATTATAGTAGTACCTTGCCTCCTCAAAAACATTTTCTTTGTTATAACTTTCTATCCTCTTTACATACAATTATAAATTGAACCATGTTGTGCAGAAATGATACATACATACATACATAAACACTCACGCCTGTCACCCAGAGGGGTAGGCAGAGACTACGGACTTCCATTTGGCTCGATCCTGACACACCTCTCTCGCCTCTTTTACATCCATATATCTACGCATACACGCTCGTCGGTTAAGGGTACTCCTAATCTGGCCCATTTTTAATGTATCGCCGATTTAGTCGATAAACCTTCGTCTAGGGCGTCCCTTCCCGACCCTGCCGTTCACTTCTTCTGCAACATAAATTTGCTTTGTCACTCTTTCCTCGTTCATTCTTTCTACATGACCAAACCACCGAAGCATTCCTTTCTTAATCCTTGTCACAACGTCATCTTGCAAACCACACTTTTCTCTTATCACACTATTTCTCACCCTGTCATTCAGATTCAGCCCTAGCATACTCCTTAAGGAACGCATTTCTACAGCATTTATTCTACTCTCATGCTTCTTCTGCCAGACCCAACTTTCACTACCATACATTAAAGTAGGGACTAACACAGCATAATGAATTGCCATACGTGCCTTAATTGACACATTCTGACTCCTCATAATAGCGTGTAGAGCCCCATTCACTCTATTTCCTGCGTTCACTCGTCGTTTCTATATCCTTATCATATCTATCGTCCCTGCTAAATAAACATCCCAAATATACAAACTCATCCACTTGCTCAATCAACTCCCCCTCTATTCTTATTTCACATAAAGTTTTACTTTCTTCTCTTTCAAAAACCATCACTTTCGTCTTACTTGCGTTCACTTTCATACCCCTTTCTTTCAATGACCAATTCATTAAAGTAACCATCATTTGTAACTCGGCCGCCGACGATGCAAATATGACTTGATCATCGGCGTACAAAAGGCATTTGACGGTTGACTCACCCATTCTCAACCCACATTTTTCAACTTTCAAAGTTTGCAAATAACTGTCCATAAATAGGTTAAACAGCCACGGGGAAGCCACACACTGTCTGACACCTTTATGAATGCCAAACCAGTCCGAGTAGACCCCGTTGATCCTGACACAAGCACTAGAGTCCCTATAAACAGACCTTAATGCCTGTATCAAGCCAGCGCTCAACCCAAATGAGTTCAGTGTTTGCCATAACACATTCCTGTCCACTCTGTCATAAGCCTATTTCAAGTTCATGAACGCACAAAAAACTTTCTGATTTTTGGCCAAAAACTTCTCCGCTATCATGTGCATGGAAAAGACTTGATCCGTACACCCCATCCCCTTTCTAAATCCAAAATGATCCAACCCACAAACTGGGCAAATAATGATCCAGAGGTTTTTTTTTTCAATTATGAAAGACTGAAAAATAATAAGTAATCCCAAAATCTACTTTCAATTTTCTATTAAATTATATACATAACATGATATAATAGGGCTTCTGCCACAAGAAAAATGCATTTATTTTTCAAATTTAAATAGGTAACTGTTTTTGTGTGTTGAAACATCTGCACAATACACCCCAATCGTAAACATTGGTCGTCGCCAGTCTCAAAAAATTTAGCAATGATCGCAGCTCATCATAATTCCACTGTGTATCATCATATTGGCATCTTGTAGATTGTAGCAGTGGCTGACCAAATCATTTGGTAGTGACCAAATCGTTTGGTTAGCCAGTTATATGAAAGATTAGCCGTTTAGTTCAATTGGTTAAATGCCAGCTACTGCCACTAAAAATAAACCTTTCGGCCATAATTCGTTTTGACTGACCAAAGGTAGTTTTACTTTGGGTATAATTGATGCAGAATCAAGAGAAGAACATGTTAAAATTATATGTAAAATTTTAATATAATGAAATAAAATGTATTCTATCAAATGATTAAATCAAAGGAATTTGAGATATAAGTTTGACCACGACACTCTTAACAAATTCGCTAATTGCTATAATCTCTCTTTACTAAGCGATTTGGCTAAGCTATTTTTATGCATTTTCTTTCAATATCAGCGTTTAGCCGATTGACATGTAGACATTCACATTGTATATATGTAGACTAGATTCTATATGTTTGCACTTGCATGGCACAAAATTTAATTTAAATTCTAAACATATTTGGTTCATATCCTTTTGCAAATTTTATATTTTTTAGAATTTGTTATAATTTAATTATGACTTTTTAATATTTGTTATTTAAAAATGTTGTCTATACCTCCTATATCTGAAACAATAAGCATATCCTAGCGTTTTGTAATCCCATTAAGGAAAAATAAAATATTTTTCCTACCCTCACCAAAGAATTAATTTCTGTTTTCCTTTTTATATTTTAATATACATTTATATAGAAATACAGATAGCTTTTTTCTTTCTATATTATATTATATTACCGTCTCTACTTTGCGTGTGTATTACTGTATTACAACAAACAATAAAAAAAAAAACAACAAATGTCAGTATGTTATGGAGCGAATTTGGCCTATGTGGATTATAGCCCTCAAGGGTGGCAACACATCTGCATTTTAAATTGTAATCGTGGATAAATGTAGAAGTGTAGGGGCTACAGTATCCATTTACCATAAGGTGGATTATGTGCTCGTTTGTCACCTTTGTTCTATTAAAAATATCGCTTAAATAACACGCGCGTTTTTTACGCGGATCTCAGCTAATTTATTCTTAACATCTTTAACATAATGGATTTCTGAACACGTGTTATTGTTATTACCTGATAGTTTTAAAATCTACAATATCTTTTCATTCCACATAATATATAAAAGTTTTCGTTGCTAACCGTACTAGAAATAACATCGCATCACACGAGTATTTTGATATTGTAGAGCGTCGGTAGAGGAGATGAGGACGTCGGCGGCGACGCTGGAGGCTGGGCTGGGGCAGCCGACGACCGCGCCGCGAGCCAACCTGGTCGCCAACGAGCAGCCCGTTTCTTTCACCGGTTTACCCTTGCCTAACTGACCGCACTCACACACACCAGCTACGCTCCGGTAACTCGTTACATCTCTTCCGTAAATCTTTAGACTACTTCCAACTCTCCATACAAACAATAGAAGTAAGATCCGACCGAGATCTCGGTCTGCGCTGTTCTCGACAGAAATCTACGTCGCGTTCTCAGTTAAGCTCTCAACAAAAAAGCATTTACTACCCCGACCATTATCTATATAAAATAAAAATTCTTAATTTTTCCCGCGCGCTGAGAGGTGGCGTTTTTTAATTTCATAAGGCGTTTAAGGTGGTAGCGCCGAATCTAAAACGCAATTAATGGACGCCCCTCGACCGCTGTATGCACCGACCTATTATTCTGATTGGCTACGTAATCGAGATAAACAGAACAAAAAGTGTTTGCTTATCGATTAGAATCAAATCTATTGATTTTAAATGGGTTAATTATTTTTTAGCGTAGTCTCATTTACGGTCTCGGTCAAAATTAAAGACGCTAATTTACACCAACAAAGAAAGAAAGACGGAGCGCTGTGTACTTTTCGAGTGACGCAGAAACCAAGCCCAAACCATGCTCAAATTGTAAGAACAAGCACTCACGTTCTAGTTTCATATCTGTGCATCCAGTAGTGGACTTTTACGGGCTGTTAAAGAAAAAAAAGAAAGATGTGTGTGTGTGAGTGCGTGTAAGAAAATGTACACAGAGCTCCGTCTACCTTTCTTTGTTTCTGAGGTACCTTATTCAAAAGTTTACTTAACCCTCAAACCTGTGTATGTAAATATGTCTTTTATTCACCTACATCTACCCTACAACTCAAACATTGCGCTTTAACAAAGGTCTCACTAATATCTCTTATTATGTATAGATTAGTAGTCAATTGTCATATCTACAGGCCTCAACAAAGGCTCTACACAGATTAAATATATGTTATTATATTATGTTAGAAGTTCAAGCTACGTATAAAGATGTAGTAAATCACGTTATTAGTGTCAAAGCTAATTGACAAGCTACAGTTATATATTAAAATCTGTTTTATTATCGGCGAACTTAATTATGCACATACGATTTATTTTAATTTCTACACCCAAGTAATAAGGCTTTATTTTACTTAAAGTCAATTTTATTTGCAATATTTTTACACAAGTAAACGCAATCAAATGCGCTATTATTTTTGCACCTAATGAAATCTGTTTAATTTTAGTGCAATAAAATGTCTATTCAAAAGGAGCATTTCTATTATTACTTGCAGTTACTTTAACAAAGCAATTTCAAATCTATTAATATATGACAATATTCAAAATTTAGTCAAATGTAACAAAGTATGTGTTATCACCACTTTGATAAACCATATTTTATATTTACGTTACAAACCAATTATAATTTTATAATACATATTTCAAGAATTATATTTTTAATTTGGAACTAATTTTCTAACCAATTATCATTGCCAGATTGATAACCTAGTGTCCTCCATAATATAGAATTGCAATTTGAATACAGTGTTTTTTCTTGAATTTGCTCGTAGATAGTGATAATTATTCGATAATATTTTCTAATGTAAATTAAATATAATAATATACAATTATATAAATATAGATTTAATTATAGGAAATACATGTAGTATAGTTGTTATTATAGATAATGAAATAAGTTGGTTACCGCGAAACTGTCAACGATGGAGGCTTGTCACGCAATTTTGACCATAATATAATAAAAAAATGTTTATTTGTCGAAATAGTAAAATGTTGGCACTTGGCATATTGTTACACGTTTATGTGTATAAGGAAAAAGGAAACTAGTTCATAGTTTGAATATATTTTGTCAAAATGTATTTTGTCATCTGAGATGAGGCAATGAGACATATCTGATTGTTGCAGTTATTTGTTTAATGGTTGTAATCATGTTTTAATTACTAGTGCATTTTGTGTTTGTTAATCTTCAGGAGTCTGCACTCAAATCGAGCATAAGACAGGTATATAGGTATTGAGAGATATTCTAAATAAGATGGAAATATATTAACTTAGTATCGTATAGACGCCGGAACTAGTCGTGAGCACGACCTTTACTTGCGCAATTGTCAATTTATAGGTCTTTGGGTGAAGTATGACACAGAATACCAGCGTAAAATAATAGCTTAATTCTGCTGTGTTTTGTAAAGGGTGACAACGCATTCGCATTTTGATTCTTAATCGAGGATAGATGTAGATGTGTATGGCCACAGCATCCGCTTACCATCAGGTCGACTGTGTGCTCGTTTGTCAACCAATCCCATAAAAGAAGTAGAAGGCTAGGAAATCAGACGTGGTCGGCTGTACATTCACTGTGAAGTTATACACGCGCGAACGTATCCCTCGCGTATATCTCGTACTCACGGCTCCTTCGGTTATCTATACTAAATCCTACTTCTAACTTTAGCAACTCTTTAACGCTTTCGCTGTCCTGTACACTACATATAGGTCATTGATATTGTCTTAGTATTGTGTCTGAAAATCGGACAGTGAAAGTGTTAAATTGACATTTGTGTTTAGTATAAAATTTTGTTCCTCAGCTTTTTCATATAAAACCTACAGTTAAGTTGCCGTCCCAAAAATAAGCTAAAATCTGAAGCAGGTCCTGTTTAAAAATACCTACCTTCCCGCTAGATTTACTATTTATTTGTATGTGATAATAATTTTGAATGATCCTTTTAATGATAATTTAATTAATATATTTACGAGATATTGATATGTTTTAACATTCGTATTTATAAATATTATTTCGCAGAGACACATTAAAAATATATTTGTTCTCTGACTTTTTAGATAATTTTTGTATAAGTACTGAAAATATTGCCAACAGCATTTGTCGCTCCATTATCCAGTGTTGCCGTTTCTAAATATTTTGTTGTTTGCAATTTATAAATTATTTGTAAATATTAAATGGCTTGAAGATTAGGCCAAATTATAAAACTTTATAAAATTTAAATTTTATCTAACCCCATCTCCAAAATCATATTACATATTTAAGTAATTTTAGATCTTAATGCATTCCAATTTGTACTGAAAATGGGTCTCAAAATTTCGTACATTTTCGATACGCCCTATACCATAAGTGTCTTCTTGCTATATTGGTATAAATTTTATAATTTTAGTTTTGTAGTGAATTGAAAAAAACACCAACTTAAAGTTGCTTTAGCTTCGTTGTTCGCCGAAATTGGTACAATTTATAAAAACTTTAAAAAATTATTGCAAGATTTGTACCCAAAATTAAATGTCACTGTCACTATTATAGCAAGGTATTTTTATATTATATAATATAAGAGGACGGGCTGATGGTATAAGTATTATTGTGTATAAAAGACCCTAGTCTTTAGATAATATTAGGTTTAGTATTTGCTCACACAGCCAACATTTATGTGATTGTTTCTTTTTTAGTGTCGTTGCCAGTTGAATTTACCCATTAATTTTTGTTACTGGCAACTCGATTGTATGATTGATTGGCGTATGCTTTTGCGTGCTTCCTAATTTTAAAATTATTTTATTTTTTTATCGTAATGAACTGTTTTATATCAAGTATTTAATTAACTCTAGTGTATGTAAATTATTTCACTCGTTATTTATTCTTATATCATCAATAATTACCCGAAACTTATAACTCGAAATAATCGACAAAAATCAAAAACTGCCATAAAATTTCATTTGTAAATTGATACCGAAATCAAACTTAATAAACGAATATTTTGTAAACATAAAAATATTATAAAACTATTACAGTGTTTTGCCAAATTACTAAGGTATTAAATATTCTAAGTGACACAAAAATTCTGTCTAAAATTAAATTTATTTTATCAATTCTGGTTTTATTCTCATCCGTTATTATATTAATATGTTATATTATGTATATATTTAATGTTGACGTCATTCGAGCCTCATTTTTATCCCCAGTTGTGTGTAAACATTACTATCGCTTCGAAGGTAGCATGATAGCAGTTACTTGGCTTAAACAAGAGCCAATAATATACGTAATATGGTAAATGACCACAGTAATAATAAAAGTAACATGATATTCAGGTATCGGGTATGGAACCATTCCTACAAACTAGAAATGCCATATATATAGATCTCCAAAAGGCTATCGTGGTACTATCAAAAGCGACGTTATTTTATTATTGCAATTTGCATGGTAATATAAATATATACATATAGTTGTATAGTGTAAGTGGTTACAACGTTGATTCTTGTCGAAAAATGTTACTGTTTAGAATGGCATATCTGTAATAAATGTGTGTATATTGATATTTTGTTTTATTTTCCTTCTTATCGTGTACCAAGTGACCTTAACGCCTACCGTATATTTATTGTCTTATGCTCTGGTAATCATGTTTATCTGATCTGAAAGTTTTAAGTGCCACATAAACATGGGACTTTTAACTTGGCCGGCAACGAATCTGCAATTCCTCTGGTGTTGCAGTTATTCATGGGCGGCGGTAGTCACTTAATATCAGGTGAACCGCATGTACGTTTGCCCACTCTTACTTAAAAAAAAAATTATGTACCAACTGTGTTACTTGCCTAGCGTGTCGTAAAAGGTGACTTATGCTATATTGTGTTTATGGTTTTGAAAACGATGTGTTTATTTTTCTTCTTATCAGGTAATGAGTGACTTTATTGCGTTCCTCTATTTCTTATTTACGTCAATGACCTTCCACGTGCACTCACACGATGATTGGGGTCTTGTTCGCAGACGACCAGACTATCATTATGGGCTGTAAAAATATAGATAGGTACCTATGAGATGGAAATATATAAAACGTTAGAAGATGTTATCCAATGATTAAACATAAACAAATTAAAAACTATTTTTGCAACAATTCAGTTTTACAAATTAAATAAATTACAAAAATACAAAATTCTTAGGCATTATTCGCGATACACATCTTTCATGGAAAGAACATATTAATAATTTATGCATAAAAATAAATAAGTTTGTTTTTGCACTTCGAAAGGTAAAAGACGCGTGACAAGCAGACATATAATAGCACAGAAAGAATACATTCGGACACTGTACGGTATGGATTGGTCGGAATTATGTAAACCGACCTTTAAATTTAACAATCTATTAACCGTTCCCTGCATATACATCTACGAAACAGCTAAAGGACATCGGTCAAATATGACCTGACCAAAATATGAAACGACCACCAATGATTGATACGTCAAAAAATAGTGTGGTGTATATTAAATAACGGGGTTCAACTTATTTTATTGGAGCCGGTAAAATAACTTGGTTTTGTAATGAAAAACCTCATTTAATTACTATTTTTTATAGATTTTTTTTTATAGAATAGGGGGCAAACGAGCATGCGGCTCAACTGATGGTAAGTGATTACCGCCGCCCATGAACAACCGCAACACCAGGGGAATTGCAGATGCGTTGCCGGCCTTTTAGAAAGGTCCTAAGTCGTATCGGTCCGGAAAATTCGCTGGTGGTAATTGATTCCACAAAGAAATTGTGCGAGGGAGAAAACTTCTTCTAAATCGCACAGTGGTGGATCGCCAATCATCCAGATGGTATGGATGGTAACGCGAGAATTATCGCGATGGGCGATGGTGAAATTGAGCGGCTGGAATTAGTCCGAACAATTCCTCAGAGCACTCCCTGTGATAGATGCGATAAAATACGCAAAGAGATGCAACATCTCTACGCAGTGCCAGTGTATCGAGCCGATCAGAAAGAATTCGGTTGTCAACGATTCGAACCGCTCTGCGCTGGGTGCGGTCAAGTGGAGGGAGCTGGCACTGGGGTGCCCCGGCCCAGAGATGAGAACAGTATTCCATGTGGGTCCGAACTTGCGCTTTGTAAAGTTGCAAGCGATGTGCCGGCATGAAATACTGTCTAGCCCTGTTGAGCACGCCAAGCTTTTTAGAGGCCAATTTGGCCTTCCCTTCCAAGTGACCAAGAAACTGCACACTATTCGATATGTCGACGCCAAGGATTCCGATACTAGCTGAGGCAGCAAGGGGAGTATCTTGAAACTGAGGAGATACGACAAAGGGGTTCTTTTTAGCGGTAAACGCGCAAACTTGTGTCTTCTGGGGATTGAACTGGACTAGATTTAGTCGGCCCCAATCCGAGACTTTGTTAAGCAAAGACTCGACTTCAGTCACAAGTTTGTCCCGGTACTCGGCGACGTTTTCCCAAAAAATATTGGCACGGCCGGTATATAAGGCATCACCAGTGCTGTCGTCTGCATAGCAATGAATGCTACCAGTTAGCAACATATCATTGATATGCAGGAGAAACAGCGTTGGTGATAGCACGCAGCCTTGTGGAACACCAGCGTTGATAGGCTTGAAATCAGAGCATGCAATGTCTACTACGACCTTGATGCTCCGATCAGCAAGGAAACTGGTGATCCATTTGCACAATTTCTCTGGAAGCCCATAGGAAGGAAGCTTCGAAAGAAACGCTTTGTGCCAGACCCGATCGAAGGCCTTCGCTATGTCCAAACTAACGGCCAATGCCTCCCCCTTGGACTCTACTGCCTCCGCCCATCTATGAATTAAGTAGACTAGAAGATCACCAGCTGATCGACCCCGACGAAAACCGTACTTGTGGTCACTAATCAGCTGGTGATCAGATCATGAGCTGGCAGTTTATAATGGATTCCATTATTTTGGAGAACAAGGAGGTGATGGCGATAGGCCTGTAGTTGGACGGGTCTGAGCGGTCGCCTTATTTAGGGATTGGGTGCACAAAATCTGTCTTCCATGAATTCGGGACTACGCCTTGGGAGTAGGAGTACCGGAAAAGACGCGTTAAAACCGGTGCCAACTCCGGAGCACACGTCTTCAGCACAATGGGAGGGACTCCATCGGGCCCACTCGACTTGCTGACGTCCAGGGAGAAGAGTGCTTTGCGAACCGAGCGCTGTGTAAATTGCACATCCGGCATGGAGCACTCACAGCGCGGGATGGTCGGCGGTGTGTTCTCTCCGTCATCTAGAGTCGAGTTGGACGCAAAAAGAGAGCTCAACAGATCGGCTTTCTCCTTTGCGGCATGGGCCAGTGAGTCGTCCTCTCTGTGCAGAGATGGAAGAGATGGCTGACAGAAGTTCCCTTGGACAGCCTTGGCGAGAGACCAGAATCCACGGGTTTCCGAAGGAAGGCGAACTAGCTTCTCGCCAATTCTGCCGATGTGCTCAGACCTTGCCTTGGCAATGACGCTTTAGAAGGACCTGGAGGCGGAATTATACTTGTTTTTAAGTGCGCTGGTGTTTACATCCCGAGACGTCGCCCAGGCCCGGTAGCACTCCTGCTACCAAACCATGGCTGGGATCTGCCTCCAATGAGCACCACAGAGGATGGAATAAAAAGTTCCATACCCTGAAGTACCACACCGGCAACAGAATCGGCAACAACGCTGGGATCTTCCGGCGAGTAGCAAATCCGCCCCCAAGGGTAGGATGCAAAAAAAGACCGCATCCCGTCCCAATCAGCTGACCTATAGTTCCAAACACGGCGGCAAGCTGCAGATCGCAACTGCGATTGGAGCGTGAGTGGCACCGTACTCCGGATCAGACAATGGTCCGAAGAGCCCAGTGGAGCATCAACGGAGACCTGATATCCCTCCGGATGAGAGGTCAGCAGAAGGTCCAACAAGGAAGGTACATGGTCTTCCATATCTGGGATCCGCATAGGCGAAGTAAGCAGTTGTGTTAACCATATGCCAAAGAAAAGTCATAGACGGATCTACCCGCATGATCGGTTAAACAAGAACCAAGCCATTCAGCGTGGTGGGCGTTGAAATTACCGAGTATCACGATCTCTGCGGATGGGACCTGTTGTAGCACGGAGTCTGCAGCCATTTGGACGTGGTCGATGAGTCGGTCTGTGTCGGCATTATCGCTATGGGACCTATAGAGGCACCCGTAGACGCGGGGATGGTCGTCGCTGTCTACGTGCAGCCACAGGATGGACAGGTCCGTACCTTCAAGACTGCCGAG